CTCTTTTTTTTGTGACAGAAGAAATAACTAGAGCTCAATAATTAGTATTACTATTCATAATGTCTTCATCAAATTTCAATACGATAAGTAAAGTATTAACAACCGGAACTATTATTGCTATTGTTGCCGGTTCGATTACCGGTCTTGCTCTTCTTATTGCAACTATTGTAATTATTATATGCATTGTCAAACATTTAAATCGTTCAAGGAATGTAGCAGCAGGAGGAATGATTCTTCAACCATCACAACCATATTCATATCCTTCTTCATGGTCATATCAATATCCACCGAATATGACTAGTGTAGCAAATTATCCACCTCCATATCAATCGGCTGTTCCATCCTATACAACGGCAGCATGGACTTAAAATATAACAACTGATACTTATGTTTTTTTTCTACTTTTGTTGATAAATAATCATATTAAGATATCATCAATTAATTAAATGATATTGTTCTTTTAAACATGTTCTTTTTTGTCTTTGTATCATTTTATTTCTGTTAATTAAAAATTATCAATGATATTAAGAAGAATAGTTTATGTCTTGATATTTCTTTTTTGACGCATTAAGTGGAAATGGTTTAATGAGGAAAGAAAATAAGTTAACAGGAAACATTAATCGTTTCCTTGTTTCTGATAAATGGTTGCCTAGAAGTCTTGACTTATTTCATAGAACAAATATTTTCGTAAAACTATCTTGTGTGCTAAGCTTAATAGGCTGGTTTCTATTGTTTTACACGTTGAAGCCTGTCATAGAATAAGTGTAGTTCGCTGAAGACTTATCGTGCAGAGATCTGATTTTGTTCGGAAATGTTTTTTTTCTGTGAGATGAACTTATTGACAAAACGCTTCTGATAGAATCCAGAAAACTGGTTTTGTGAGTCTTGGTTTTTCAGAATTCTTTCATCAAAATCTATAAATATGAATTTGACAAGTACCTCTTCTGATAGGATATTGTTTCAGCTACTCAAATCTTTTTTCTGATTTGTTCTAGCTATTATCGTTAAGAGACAGAGTCAAAAATACTTCATTAAGGCTGGAAAATCTGATTAGATTAGTACCATTTTAATCTGATTTATAGCCTTTTCTTTACATGGGTAGCCATTTTTACTAACTAAGTGTTGTAGAATACCAGGTTTTTTACTAAGAAAAACACTTTAAGGCCCCCCCCCTTCCTCAGAAACCAACTTTGTTATTTTCTCACCCGATTTCAACCAAAATTTCAGAGAATGTTAGTCTTGACTAGAATAGCTTATGGTTAAAATATCTCCCCCAAATCTCAAAGATATGCACAAGTTTCAGTCAATTCATTATCCTTTACGCGGGGAAGGTTTTCACAATGGGGTTACTAGCTAATCATGTCGAAGTGATTTTTAAATTGTAGAGTGACCTTAGGGCTAGACCCTCACAAGCTCCGATTTTTGAATTTCTCTTTGTTTGATTTTTAAAAATACTTTTTCGAAAAATGTTCAAATTCAAAGTGCTAATAAATATGAAATATCTGAGTTTTTTATTTCAGCAAAAGAGAAATTCAAAAATCGGAGCCTCTGAGGATCTAGCCCTAACTGTCCTCTATTCAACAAAAAAAAATTATCCCTTCTTTATTGAGTCATTATTAAGAAATCCTTCCCCGCGTAAACGGTAAATTCGAAAAAATTGATGTTGAGAAAAACGAAAAACAAATTTAGAAATAGATTTTTTTATTCAAGTTCAAAAAACAACATATGAAAATGGCATATTTTCAGAATTTTGCCGATTTTTAAAACAAAAAGTGCAACTATAAAATAAGTGGTATCATACAAATTGTAGAGCTTTTCACGCTGCATCTTGTGGTATATTTTCTTTTGTTTTAATACAATGTATTAAAATAGAAAAGCAATGTTTTTCAGTTTTTGAAAGACTTCCGAAAATTTCGAAAATGTCTTGAAAAACATGATAGTAGGTCCCCAATCTCCTTTGGTAAGATTATTAAAACCTGGCCTTTTTGGAAAAAAGGCATATATATTCTGAAAGAGGAGACTTCGGTGCATCTTCCTATGATAAAATCTCAACTTCGACTTTTTTCGAAAAAATTGGTTTTTGTGACGAGGGGGGCCTTAATAGGAGTAAAGTAATTTTAATCATAAAAAAATGGTTTTCTACTCAAAAATCAAGTTTTTAAGTGCTAAGTCGAAAAAATCCACAGAATTTCCGAAAAAAAAAGATTTTGGGAAATTCATTGCCTTCTATTACATCTTGTGAAATTTTCTTGAGGGTAGCCGTCTAATGTAGGATGATCTTCTATTCGTCGGGAAGTGTTAGACTAAAGTGGACTATTTTTCGATGAAGTTGAATAAAATCTGATCTTCAGATTGAAAGGCAACTTTTCATTTAGTTTTCTTAGTTAAACTTATTTTTTCATGTGCATAAAGTCCTTCGAGTATTTTGATTAAGAAAATCTTTTGAGATGAAGACTTCTTGAAATATGCAATAAAAATAAATAAATTTGACTGAAATTCCAATCAGTGTTAATCTAAAAATGAAGTTTAATCAGTTAAAAATTATTTGTTTTTTCGTAAAATCAATTTCACTCGATTAAAACGGATTGAACATTAAATAATTTGATTAATAGAGTACGATGTTAATCGATTTTCAATAAGATAAATTCGAATAGAATCAGGTTTTTTCTCTTTTTTTTTTATAGACACAGGGTAAACTTTTCTATTGCACAGCAATCAGAGTAGGACTAAAAATTGAAAGTTTATCCTGCCATGTGACGGTCTCTGGTCCATTATTTCGTTTTTTAGTGAAAAAAATATTAACGGTAAATTTGCTTTTAAATATGATCGACATTTCTAGATTTTGTAACGTTTTCACTGAATGAGCTATCCTTTATACTAATAGTATTCATTGTATGATCACTTAAAGCAACATACATATAGAGAAGAAAATTGAATGACGAAGTTCGAATTCTAGATTACTATTTGTTTAATATGCCAGCAAAGATAAATGTTTGATATAGAGATGCGATGGTGATGGTAATCACTGGTATAGACATGTACGCATAGAATAACGATGAAAAACAATAAAACTACGGTGATCTTAGATTCATATTTCGACTTTTTTCGGTCAGAGGACGTCTATTTCAAGAAAATAGTTGAATCTTATAGAATCCGACTAAACTGTTGAGAACTAAGAGTTTCTCGAACGAGAAAATTAAACTCGAAAATCTTGATAAATCTCCCATAGATACAGATTTCTCGAGCCCGAATACCATTAGTTAGTTCCTATAGAATTCAGCCATTTTCACAGTTAGTCTATACATATATGTTTAGACTCGTGCAAAGCTGTTGGTAAAACTAGTGTACTGATGAAGTGGAATGCTGAAGGTATAGTGCATCGTCATCGTTATATTCCTAGTTTACCATGAGTAAATCCTCTTATCTGATTTAATTAATATTAATCATTATTGAACAAAAAAATAGTCACTGATGACGTTTTATATCTTGTTGAAATATTTATTCAGATATTAAATTTAAAATAAAATAAAACTTGGTGAATGAAAAAGATCAAGAAAAATCAAATGATATTATCTTCTTTCCATGTTCATTTAGAATCATACTATAGTGTCATAGCAAATCAATATAGAATTAACTTTATGATCAGATACTGTATTAATTTTCTGTAATGACTTTATTTGTCAATCTAGAACGGTGAATACAGAGTCTATATATGTCCATAAACGATCGATTGTTGTATTACATAGTTCAATATCAGTACTAGCAGGAAGTTCAGGAAGTAAAGAAAAATTTTGCTCAAACTTTTTCATTTACAATAAAAATTATTTCATTATATTTGATATATTTATCTCATAGAGATTTTATGAAGCCTTTTTTTTTCTAAATTAATATTAATGATCCTATTAAAGATCAATAAATTAACTGAACCCTATCGAAATATGATTCTTTGTACTATAAACACATTTTGTTAACAAGTTTCATATGTTAATTTTTAACTGAAGAAAAAAAGAAGTCTCATAGGACATACTATATGTTTTGCAGTCAAAACATTTTAATTGAATATGTAAAACGAAGAATGTGTTTATTATTTATTCTTACAAATCTTAAATCTTCATGTCGTTCATTACTGAAAGCTTTTAGTAATATCAAATTTGCTACTAACCTTAATTAATAGTTAATAAATACATGGTATCAAATTTATCATGTTCTATTCTAGTCATTTATTTTAAATGATAGTCATGATTAGCAGAAAACTCTTATAATGAAAACAAAAAAACAAGCTTTATTATTCTATCTTGTTAATTTATTTTTAGAAGAATATATAAAAATATCTTATAAATTCAAAATTTACTAGTCATGCTTTAGACGATAGATATTCGAATTAATTATAAATAAGAAAATATGAATTATATTTAACAATGAACATATTTAGCAACGCGGATCGATGATTATTTTAAACGCTCATTATTTTTTCATTTTTACTTCAATTCAATATAAAGCTAATATCAAACACTAAGAATCTATATAAAAGATTGATTATATATGAAAATTAAAAGTATTAATATGAATCTTGCAATAGAAAACATTTCAAATTATTAAGATTCTTCTAACTTTGATCTCCTATTTGAAACAACATCAAATGAATTAGTTTTTCAGCATATTTATAGGAATATATAAAACGTTCAAAATTATAAATCATGTATTCTTTCGGTTCAAAAGGTGTAATAATTCATGTTTCTTTTTATTTAAATTTTATATTAACATATGCTACATGTCAAGAAAATGAGATACTAAGATTTATGACTGTTTAATTAGAATTTTACACAGTAAAATAATTTCAGATATGATAAATTCTATGTAAATAACGTAATTAATCTGAATATTTGTAATAGACAGAAAAAAAAACAATAAATAATAATTTTAAAATTTTTTTTTTTTTTTTTAATTAAAAAATAAATGTTTTATTACAAGAGAGATGTTTTTCATTTGTTTTTTCTTTTTTAACTGTCCCATGCTGAACGTGCAGCAACTATATGATGAGATGAATTAGTTTTATCATTAATAATAGACATTGGAATCGTTGTCCATGATGTAACTGGTGTACTATTTGTTGTTATTGTTGTTGTTGTTACTTCAGGTGAATTCGATGAACATTCACGTAATGATTGTGGATTTTCATTTCCACTACTTGTACTACCATCACTTATAATACTATGAACATTAAAATTTCTTGGAAATCTTTTTCTATCTAAATATTTTAAATAATCTTGAAAACGTTTTTCCATTATTGGATATTGTTGATGTTGTAATGGTATAACAGGAAATAAACAATTTATACGATTTGTTGCTTCAACAAATGATAATTGTTCATCATTTAACATTAAATATTGTATAGCAATAACAGCTAATGGTGAATTAGGTGTTAATTCAAAACCATATATAAGTATACGTTTACCTTCTTGTTGTGATTTATATATAAAATGATTAACAGCTGAAAATAGTTGACTTAATTGTAAACGTGTTAATTCACGTATTTTATTGTTATTTAAATTATTATAATCCATTGTTAATGTTGTTGTTGTTGATGGTGGTGATGATGTTGGGAGATATAATTGATCAAATTCAAGTGTTAATGTACAACGTGAATGTGTATGACTACAATGACATTGAAGACGAGCACCAACATTTGCTTTACGTGCTAATTCATCAGGTCTCATATTTGTTGCATCAATAAGATAATCAATAGATAATTTACATAATTGTCTTTCATTTTGTAAAGCACGTATTGAACCTAATAAAATATCATTAGTAAGAAAAACAATTGAAGTTGTTGATGATGTTGTATTTCTATCAATTTTTGCTGATTTAGCTAATGATTGTGCACGTCTTGGTATATCACGACGTGGTTGTGGACGTAATTCTTTACCTAAATTTAAAATGAATGAATAAATATTTAATGAAATGATATATATATATATATATATTTTTTTTTTTGGTTTTTTACCAAGACATTCGGAAGTAGTTGTAAATATAGTTGGAACATGTTGATGTGTAAATATAGGTTGAGATGAAGGTTTAGGATGTGCATTTGTTGGTGATATTAATGGACATGATGGATTTCGTCGTTGAACTGATGATACTAATATACGTGCAGAATCAAGATCCCATTCATTGTCACATGCTGATGGTTTAGCTGGTAATGAAACAGCAGTTATTGGTCGATTTTTTGGTACACGCATTGAGCTTGTTGTATCGGTAGTTAAACGACTACGACGTTGTCGTTGAGATGAATTATTATTATTAATTCTTACTGATGTTGTTTGTCGACGACTACTAGTTGCAGATGAAATACGATAACCGAAACGATCATTATTATTTTGTTGTCTTCGTTGTTGTAAATCATCATCATCATCATCAGACGATGATGTTGTAACAACATCTTGAACATTTAAATCACTTGTTGATGCACTTTCAATACGCACAGTTACTGTTGATGGATCAGCCACTGTTGATGATATTATACTAAATAAATGTTTTAATATATATTGTTTTCTTCATCTTTTTTTTACATATCCATTTATTTAACAATAGTGAAATGTATATTCGCTACATGTTTTTTTTCTTCATACTCACCTTGCTGAACGACGAATCATACTATGCATTATCTTTAACTCGAAGATCGTATTTCTAAGTAATGTGTAAAAAACAGAAAAATATCAATACACATGGTCTTGAGCAATTAGAACGATTAACAATAGCACATTGCTTATGTGAACAAAATGCACGGCAACAATCTACGTGCCTTGTTTTATATTTCCTTTTCTACTTTTCAAAAAAAAAAAGAATAGAAGAAGAACAGATCTAAATGTTGCTTTAACAAGAACGACGTTTTTGTCTTTTATTAAAAAAAGAAGAAAAAAGAAAATAGAATGACACAAAGTAAAATGAAAAGATGCAGAACTTCTTTCTCTCTCTCTCAACTGCTATCTATAGCGCTTTATACGTCAGACACAGCCTGTCATATTGTGCTGAGCCGTTACTGTAAGAATTAATAGTGAGTTTATCTTGTGTCTCACTTTTTCACTATTTTCTTTCTTTTCTCCTTATTCTCTGATGTATATGTAAGTCTACCTGCGCCACTCAAGGATGACAACGTTTTGCACTCTATATAACGATGGAAAAATAATGACGCACATGCTCAAGCTTTTTTTCACATCTTCTATAATAAAAAAAGAATATTCTTTTTTTCTGAAAAATAGAAAGAAATCTCTTAATATAGAAGTAGTAATTTACTTTATATATATTAATGAATATTTTAATACGATTCAAGTTCCATTTATTTTTTCTTTTCAAGAATTATATTCAGAATACCGAATTTAGGATTTTTTTAATATCTTACAATCAAGAGAATAAAAGAAGATGATGAAAGTCAAAAATTTTTAAATTTAGTATTATTTAGAAACTATAATGAAACATGTTTTTTTTTCTTTTTTTTTTTTAAATAAAATTTGAATCTTCTTCTTTTTTTCCTTCCTACATAGGAAGGAAATATAATTTATAAAAGTAAGGATTTATTCTCGAATGATTTTTCTATTGATAAAAAAATTATATAGAGATTTAATAAAGACTACATTTTAGATAGTGAATCGTTGTCATCTTTGTTTAATTAATTTATCATGACATACGACACCAACAGAAATAAGTAACTAATGATAAACATTGTTATAATATAATTCACTTATGATGTGTGTGTATGTGTTTTTTTTCTTTTCTGCTCTATGTGTAATATATAACACATATGACAGACACAAGATAGTTTATACATAACTTGATGATATAACCATTTCCAATCTTTTTTAATTTGTACTATTGAGTTCAATAAAGAAATATGCTATTGGCTGAAAATGCTTTTGTTTATGTGATCTCAATGATTCTTAAAGTTACAACATTTCAAATTTTTAGTATATGTACGACTGTAGAAATATATACCAACGAGATTAGTCTGATCTCGATCGTTTGACTTGAAGAGAAGTTATGATGTATGATAATTCTTCTCATTATGAGTTCTATAACTCAAGAAGAAAAAGAACTTACGACCTGATCCATCTATCATGATGTCAAAGATCCGTAGCTTTTGAACGTTTTGATGGAACTTAATGAACTTTATAGCATAATTAGTGGTATTCAAGGATCTGCATAATGATAAGTTTACCAAGTCATTACCATCTTCTCTTCTTGAATTACAGGACTCATCATGAGAAGGATTATCATAACACCAACAAGGCTCAGTCCGTGTCACTCACCTAAAGTTCTAATGTAATATATATATGCTAATAATTTCAAATGTCTAGGCCTAAGAATGAATGAAATACTTTTGATTAACAGTGCATTTCTTTATTGAGTTTCATAGTACTAGTTCAAAACAGTATCAATGTAGTAGTCTCCATATAAATGAAAACTTTGCAAAATTCTCTATTATCAAGGAAAAAACAGCCAGATTGATTAAAACAGATTGTATATATTGAATATTTTTTATCGTCTAGTTACATATGAAATATCCTGTCTATGTTTCTTTTCCTTATCTTTATTTGCAAATATTTTTCCATATGACTTATATTTCTGTCGCACATATATCCATACAGTGACTATCAAAATTATCCAACAGGTAGATAATTGCATTATATTTTTGTGTATATCTTTAAAACTTGATCAGCTAGAATGATTTGATTTTCATCAAATTACAGTGCATAGTCTATAGTAAAATATATTTAGTTTTTATTGATGATTCAATTATATCATGCTGTTTTTCATCTTTGAAAAATTATCCAAATATTTATTTTTGTAAGTATTTACGTGCTTGTTTTCAATTGAAATTTTCTTTATTAAAATATGATGATTCAATAGAATAAATTGTGCTCTACATAAGAAACAGTTTTTATTGTGCTTTTCATTTATGTGTGTAGGCTTGAAAACTATGTTGTTGTTTTTTTAAAACTTATAACGGAAATTGTTAAGAAAAACTTGACAAATGGCTTTTTGTTTTCATATGATATTTAGTTATTTTTATTTATCGAAAATTAAATATGTCAACTTATTCAAACTTCAAAATAATACAAATTATTATTTAGTTAATGATAAGAATATGGAGGTGGGGAGACAAAGAAGATATACATCCACATCCTAGAAAATATATTTATCAAAATATAACTACTGAATATTGCTATAAATTTATCTATAAGAGACGTGTGTCTTTGTTCATTTCTATTTAATAAATGTTTATATATCTATTCTCCATGCTAGTAATTTCAAACATGAGAACATATACTTCGGCATGAGTCGGGTAAATCAAATATAATTTTTCTAGATAGAGAATTTAAAGCTCTATAAAAGTTTGTATTTTAAAAAGAAATTTTTCCTATTACACAGTAATCAATACACTGATGTACATTGTATGTTTCGACTATGACGTATTGTTGCTGAAGCTTTCGTTCAAAGTTGTGATATATAATCGATAAGATAAGAGTATTTCATGAAGAATTTTGTTCATTTATTTGCAAACCTTAAAAATATCTCATTAGCAATGTTACATGATTTTTTTTGTTTGATTTATGTATCGCAGTAAGAATAAGCAGTGTACGTCAGTGTTTTGATCCCTATGTAAAATAGAAAAGTTGTTTTGTCAAATTGAAGTACAAAGATCGAAATTCTCTATGTTTTAATATATGAACGAGTATTTTTTTTTAATGAATAGTAAGTGAGAGAAAAATTTGCATTTACATTTAGTGCAATTCATTATAGCACACTCATTATTTGAATAGATATTTCATGTTGAAAAATTATGTTGGTTATCTTCAATGTTTGATTTCAAATATAAGATCTTTTGTATGAAAAAAACAAAAAAGATTTCTTATAAATCTACACTGTTAAAATAACTTTTTTGTATATTCTTCAATGCATGAATAAAATTGCACTAGAAGGTCGTAAATATCTCTGGCATAGGTTAAAAAAAACATGTTTTTTTTAAACTCATACCCAAAGGAAAGCAACGCTAAAAATACTCTTTATACAGAACATAATTTGTTCTATAAGAAGCTTAACATAAACCTGGTAGGCAATTGTTTGCAAAAATAAGTGGTTGAACGATGAAAAAACGACATGCTGCGATTATATCATCAATAAAAACTAAATAAATCATTAAATTGATTAGAAAGTTTTTACTAGAGATTATTAGTTATAATCTGATGAAAACTAGATTATTGTAGTTCATCAAATTTTTGAGATATTTTACATGAAATACAATAAGATTATCTATACGTTTTCATATTGAATATAATATAATTGTATCTTTTCTCTTTGTCTAACAATATAAAATTATTTATTCTATTCAATGAATTAAAAGACAAAAGAAAATATTATTTTTGATGATGTATTTTGAATTCAAAAAAAAAAATTCTTATGTTCATATGAATGCAAGAACTAAAGTTAATTATTTACAAATTTAATTAAATAATAATTTGAATATAAGTAGAAAGTTTAGAGATTTTACAATAAAAAGTATATTATGTTTATGCAATAGATCGAATATTATGATAACTTGTTTTCTTCGTTTTTACTTGATAATAACTCGGTTATTATTTAAACAATATAGAGAATATATTGATGTAACCATTAAAAGATTATTTTTTGATAATAAATAATTTTGAAAGAATTACACTTTGTGGATATATCTTGACACAATTATTTCATGTCATTTTCGCATGAAATCTAAATAACTATTTCTATTTAATGAATGTTTTCTTTGTATGACATTCGTGAAATTCATTCACAAGCAATTG